ATGTTTGTTTAGATGCTCTTGCTCCCCTAACTATGGAACAGTAGCCAACGGTTACACAAATGGGGATAGAGCAAATGGATTTGGAACCAGCTGTGCTCTAGGTGGGAGGTAGTAGCCTTATTTATTTATGTGAATCTTACATGTGCTCCATCCCATGGGGTAGCAGATGTTTTGATAATCTGTTTGGTTTAGGACCAGCACAGCATTTGAGATGTGTACTGCAAATAACCCTCACCAGAAAGACTGGTTGTAGAGTAAAGAATATTCAGTATTCTGGGCAGTACTATGAAATGCTAAGCTTTTTCCTAGACTTGTTTTCAGTTGTTAAATAATATATCAAATTTCAAGTCAGGTTCTTTGAGAAGTACAAAATCCATTCATTTATTCATTCCCGTAACAAACATTGGTTGAGTTCTCTATAGATGCTAGCTCTGTTACCAAATTCTCGCCCTTATGAGCCATATTCCTTGGAGTTGTGCAGATGCTGTGATAACACAGCAGTTGGTCTAGAATTAATAAGAGGGAAAATGTGACACACTCGCCACTGATTTTCATTCCTTTGCAAACTGACCTGTTACTGTTATGCTAAAGATTCTCTCTGATGCCTCTTTCTCTAATTACCCAACCTAGTGATCTGTTCTAATCCTCAACTTCATCTTGTGCCTGAAATCCTTCCTGTAGTTGACCATTCCCTTTTTCCACCTATTCTTACCTATTTGGGTCTGTTGAAGAAAGCTCCCAGTGTTGCTCAGCAGTGAGACGGCTTGTTAAACAAGAAAGCTATTCCTTACTCACTTTGTCAGCAGAGTGTCTTTGCAGAGAGGCTATCTATGGAAATTGGGGCCAGAGGCATGGTCTGAGGAAGGTGTACATGTCCACACCCAGACATAGCAAATAAAGATACTGTATGACCAGTTAAATTTGAATTATAGATTAGCAGTGGATAATTATTTAGTATAACATTAATAATAAAAACTATTTGTTGGCAGTACTTGGCACATAATGATAACCTATTCAGGGCATAATTATATTAAACAATCGCTTATGATTGACATGCAATTCATATTCAACCTGGCAGACCTATGTTTGGTGTATCAGCTCTGCAGTAAGCTACTACCAAGACATGTCATGCTTGGCATCTGGCACACTTTGAAAAATGAGGTGCGGGCTTGAGGGAGAAAAGTGCAGTCAGGCACTCCTTGGTTTCATAGAAGCCCATCTGCCTCTGGACTCTTCAGAGTTGCTCTTCTCACATTCCTTAGTGTGGCCCTTCCTCCTTTGTTTTGTTCTCAGAATATGGCTGTTCCCATGGTTCCCATAACAGCCTACTTGCCTCCCGAAGAAATCCTAAAAAGTACTTTCCTCTGCGTGAGCCATATCTTTAGCCCTGGCTTGGGATTCTCACACATCCAGCTACATGCCAGCTATTTCCGACTGCTTTGCTGGACAAAGGACATTGTGACAAGACTTTTTGATCTTGAGTACGTTTTTTTTTTTTGTTTTTTTTTTTGTTTTTTTTGATACAGGGTCTCACTGTGTAGTTGAGACTGACCTGGAACTCACTATGTAGCCCAGGCTGGTCTCAAACTCACAGCGATCCTCCTGCCTCCGCCTCCCAAGTGCTGGGATTACAGGCATGTGCCACCACGCCTGGCTTGAGTATGTTTTGACTAATTTAGGAACATAAATATTATATCAGAAATAGGTCATCACCCTGAATTATTGATGAAAGTATTTTTCTGACGGAAGTTTGATATACAGGGTCTCACTGTGTAGTTGAGACTGACCTGGAACTCACTATGTAGCCCAGGCTGGTCTCAAACTCACAGCGATCCTCCTGCCTCCGCCTCCCAAGTGCTGGGATTACAGGCATGTGCCACCACGCCTGGCTTGAGTATGTTTTGACTAATTTAGGAACATAAATATTATATCAGAAATAGGTCATCACCCTGAATTATTGATGAAAGTATTTTTCTGACGGAAGTTCAGTTTGAGTCATCAACTTTTTAGAGCACAGATATCAGTTAAGTTACCCATTTTTAAATGAACCTACTCTCAACATAATTATTCACTGTTGTCAGATTGTTAGTCACCATGTTATTTTTTTTTTTGTAATTTAAAATTTTAGGGAAGATTTTTCTATACTTAGCAGTCATTTGTCCACAGCAAATAACTATGGTGGATCTTCGCTCCTGCCATTGTTTTCTTTTGTGCCTGTCATTCTTTCAAAGCCCTTCAACATGTTTTCACTGCGTAGAGTTGGTCTTGCCTGCTGTGTGTGTCATTTGCCTGTTGTGAGGTTGGTTTGGTTGACAGGCTGGTCCTTGAAGTGCGGAGAGCAGTTGCATTGAAAGTGCCTTGGTCACCTTTACTGACCAGCATATTGGTTTATCACGTTGCTCATTTATGTCTTTTACAAGCTTTTGCTCATTTATAAATTATAAAGCAGAGCAAAGCATGCACAGTGGAGTCCAAATGGCAGGATCACAGTGTCTTACTCATGAGACATGACCTAATTATGGGATGCATGTTTAAAATAAATGATTACGCTAGTAGACACATTGCCATTAATCCCCCTCAAAGTACTCCTCTTTGCTTTGAACACACATAGCCCATCATTTTTATCACTTTCTGAAGTTCTGGAAGTCCTCTTTCCTGAGTGTCTTTACAAAATAAGATCAAGAATATAGAGAGTGCTGCTGTCAAGTGTCTTCCAGTGGAACGGCAGGCTTGTAAAAACATTTCATTGTGCCCTCATCCACGATATTTACTAGATCTGGCACCATTTGACTTTTGGCTCATCCCTAAAGTAGAAATGACAGTGAAAAGTAAACATTTTTAATTGATTCAGTACATTGAGGCAGCACAGTGCAGATAGTGCACATCAGTTGCTAAAAGTGCAACTAAAGAAGAGGACTCACACGAGAGGACTGCTTCAGAAATTGGCAAGCGTGATAGGATAAGTGTGTTTGAAGTGAAAGGGAGTATTTTGAGGAGAATAAATGATAATGTATCTTTTCCTGTAATAATTTTTAAAAATATAAATATTCATTGCATTTTTAAAAAATCATACCTCCATAGGTCTTGTCCTCAGCGCGAACTCAGTGCTTCCAAATTCAAACCTAGGGTTTCTTCCATTCATAGACTTGAGGTTTGAGAGTTAATCTTTGCTTGTCCCCATGTCCTTCATATCCAGTAACTGACTGCATCCTATCAGTCCTTCCAAATCTTTTGCATCTACTTTTCCTTCTCCTTTGACTGCACATCTTAGTGCAGTTACTCCAGAGTACTGTCTTCCAGTTTCTCAACCCTTCATTTTTAAGATGTCCTCCCAAGTGGTCTCAGCGCCTTTTTGTAAAAGTCTTTAAATCACACCTTCACCTTTATCTGTTGTCCTCAGTGTCTAACAGAGTACGTATATGGAGGAGAAAGCCTAGTAAGAAACTCTTGGATGAAGGATCCCAGCTTTGGCCCTGGCGGTAGTGGTGGTGGTGGGGGCTAGGCTGGCCCATTGGGCTGTTCTAGGTGCAGATCGACCAGGTGGCCCAAACAGTGTGTTGCACTTGTGTGCTGTGAGTCTATAGTCAGCTGCCATTCTCTGTCCACCAGTCACCCACGTCACAGGTAGGCTTAGGTCTGGGCACTGGGTGCCTCCCTGGCTGCTAGCCACCTGGCAAACATCCTTCCTAGTGATATTTTATTTTGACCTTTCCTTTGAAAAAGGTTTCTAAAGCAACATTGTCCACATAAAGGTCAACAAGAAAGAGTAGATAATAGGTCTACAGAAGTGTAAGTTGAAAGGCAGGAAGCCAAGTTGCTTAATATAACTAGGTTGGAGAGGATGAGCAAAAAAAAAAAAAAAAAAAAAAAAAAATGCCCTTGAAATTATCTTTTAATCATTTGTATTTGGAAATGTAAAGTGGAACATGGAAAATAAACATTTCCATTCAGTGTATACATAATTTAGTAAAACAAATACCTGGGCTTTCTGAGGGTCCAGACCTCCTGGAAAGTGGCCTCTGTGGGCTGGTGTCCTTTTTCTTCCTGAGTTCAGAGTGGAAGAAATTGGAGAAGCAGCTTTATGATAGAATAGGTAAAGCCAAAGCGTTGCTTTTATTTTTGCTCTGCTGGCACTGGAACCCAGAGGTTGTGTGAGCACATGGCAAGAGCTCTGCCACTGAGCTACACACACATTTCCTCCTTTAGTGAAAACTTAGAGCATTCAAATTTGGCCAAGAGCCAAACTGAGATGAAGAAGTCTGTAGTGGGGTGTGACCCATAGCGGACAATTTGTGTTTGCTTCAGGAAGTTTAAATGGCAAGTGGTGAAATCCACAAAGGCTGCAAATACCAGCACAAGCATACAGGCAAGGGCTTTGTTATTGCTTTGCAAACTGGGGCGTTGAAACATTGAAAAATTTAAAATAAAAACCTGAGAGTAAAAAGAGTCATTATTTATGGATTTACAGTTTCCCATCTTGTTTATATTTTTAAAACTTTGAAGACAATTTTAATATTTCTGGACAGCAGCCTTCAAATCTTTTATAATCAGAATTAAGACAGATGGAAATAAATAGAAAACATATTTATTTATTTATTTTTGTGGTGCTTGAGGTCAAACTGAGAGCCTTGTGCATGCTAAGCAAGTGCTCTACCATCAGTAAACACCTGCCTATCATAAAACAGTTATTCTGAGTACTTAATCATCATAGCATTTTATAAATTGGCTACTAGTAAGATCTCAGAGATTAAGAAACTAATAATATCTCAGACATATAGCACTATGTGCCAGGTACTCTTCAGTGCTTTATATAGATTATTCATTTAAACTTCTTTGTCTTGCAGAGGAGAAAAAGGAAGCTGAAAGAACTTAAGTGATTTCCTTACACTTTTTTTGTTTTTTTGCTTTTGTTGTTGTATTTTTTTTTAGACAGGGTCTCACTATGTAGTTGAGACTGACCTGGAACTCACTGTATAGCCAGGCTGGTCTTGAACTCACAGCGATCCTCCTGCCTCAGCCAACCAAATGCTGGGATGACAGGTGTGCGCCACCACGCCCAGCTCCAACTTCCTTACATTTTGAGGTGAGTGTATTCTGAGATTTTAAACTCTTATCTTGCCTCTTTTGGTCCGCACAGATGGAACAAGGTAGCCATGGGAGGCGGTGTTGGTGCAGCTGATATTAGTCATTTTATGATTTTTGTGAAACAGAGTTGTACAGCTGCCAGGGGCAGCCAGGCTTTCATATTCTTCATCAGATCACTGAGAAGATGTAAAATACTACACAAAAATTTTTCCATTCAATATTCACTCAATTTGACAAATCAGTAATGTAGCTGAGCTAAGGCAGGCACTGGCATCCTCTTCTCTGCTCAGTTCAGAGCAGAGGGGGCTCAGGAGGCAGTCTACTGTGCATAGTGTAGTAGGCATTTCATTTTATGCTGCAAAGACCTTGTGAGCAGATCTACTCCAGATTCACACTCAGGTAGAGATCTGGAGTGCCTCGAGCATTTCACCTCCTTGACTGATCCAGGTGATACAATTGGGTTTGATGAGGTTGTCAGGGAGCTTCTCTGGAAAATTAGAATACCTTCATCCCTGGCCTTGGCTCTTTTCCCCTTTAGTTGTGTAATATGTCTGGGATGTCTGTGGACAAACGAGGTGATAACCTCACTCAGTGGTCAGAATCTGGCCGCCCCTGTGACAAGAGCTTTGGTGGATGCCCACCCCAGCCACTTAGAGCTTGGGTGACCACCACTGAGCACCATCTGAGGTTCTTTCTTTTCATTTATGAGATAGAGATTGTTGGTTAAGACTTAGCATAGTGTCTGCAATGTACCCACTGCTTAGATGTCATTAAATTGAGGAATATTTAAAAAACAATTGGCTTTGATAAAGCAGTGTTCTTGTATCAGATACCTAGATTCTGTGTGTATTTTTGAGGGTAGGGTAGTCATTATTAGTGTAATGTTACTTGGGAGCAGCTCATGATTGGAGAGAGGAGGTCTGTTCAAGACTCCTGCCAGTGCAAGCTTATAGAGCCAAGCCATTCTCCTTAGAAGTGGGTTTAGAACTTGCATGTGGGGAGTTGGCATTAATAGCCGCAGACATCTAGAGCTCACTGCCCCAATAGCTATAGCCATCAGCGGCCCCGTCATTTCAAACAGGGCAGTTTGAGTTGAGTTTAATGAAGTGACTATTACCAAGGCAGGGCGGGATGTTAATAACCCAGAGTTGTGAGAGACCCTGCAGCCTGCAGGAGAAGGGAGGACTTGGTGACCACAGCTGGCTGTGTGAGCGGGCAGTCATCCATTGGCACATGGCAGTGGAAGGCTTCAGTCATTCACCCTCTTCCTGTACCGGAGAGTTTGGCTACAGACCGGTGAGTCTCAGAGTGGAGAATCACACAGGTGAGCCTTGTAGTAAGAAACCACACAGGTGAGCCTCAATGTGGGGAAGGCTGGTGAGGGCTGAGCAGCTGCAAGGCAAATAAGATGTGATTTTGGCTGAGCTGAGGACAAAAACAGGTCAGTGGCAGCCCTGGGTTTCTGTTTGCTTTAGACAAGACTTGACTCTACAAATGCCAAAGTACTGGACAGAGTCCCACTTTAAAAGCATTGACGTTAATGGCTTGCTACTTTCATAGTCTGCTTCTTTACTTAGAAGCCTGAAGATCTGAGTTAAAGTGTTTAATTCATTCAGTGTGCTTGTACTTGAGTTACCTCCTGGTGAAATAAAGGCATAGACTAGCTCAGGGCTTAGCAAACAGGTTCTCTAAAGTCTTGTACTGTAAATATTTTAGGTTTTGTAGGCTGCATGTAGTCACTATGCATAATCATGCAGGAGGCAACTGGCTCTCAAATTGTGTGATAGAGGTTGTTTAATATCTGGCTTTCAACAGTTTGGGTGTGCTCCATTTGAGAGTAATATATAGTTTTTAAAAAAATGTTTAAATGATAACAAGATAGATTCCTTTAAGGAAAACATATTAATGACTGTGTATGACACACACTGTAGATAAGAATGGATTAGATCATCTTTTCCTTCCTTCTCCTCACTGCATTCCTCCCTTATTTCATATTTCATATGTAGCTTGTTGGGACTTTCACACAAGAGGGCAGAGCGGTTTCTTTTTCTTTTTTAATTAGTGTATGTTTGCAATACATAAGTATATTCATCTCGGGGAATTGGTATACATACATCTTTAATCATTTTTACTTCCTTTCTGGCTCTCCTGTTTCCCCCATTCCTAGGTCCCAGTACCAGGTGCATAGAGTACCCAGCCCACCCATAGACCCCCAGGCAAGAGCAGTCCCTTCTAGGAGCTCTGAGGCTTGAACCACTCCCTAAACCAAGCCTGGGGCAGTTCAGCCGGCCTGAGTGCACATTCTGTGTCCCACCTGGGCTCCTGTGTGGACCTGCAGCAACCAGGTAGCATCTTAGCAAGTTTCTCTTCAGTCTATGAAAATAAATCCAGAGGCCAAGGCTTGTGAGTTCTTGCTTTACTCCCTTTGGTAATTACGGGCCTGGTAAAGGCAACTTTCTCTTTCCTGGACCTGTGCCGCCCTCATGGGCTCCAGGTCATATCCAAGGCTCATTTGTCTCTGTGGGTGTCTTTAGAGCCACTGCCCTGTAGTCCCAGACACCTCTGTGGGAGGGAAGCTGTGGACTTGTACCTAGCAGCTCCACATGCCCAGGAGTGCCACAGGAAATCACCTGTGTGCCTGAGCAGCCCAAAGGCCACCACAATGTGGCAACTGAGCCCTGTGCACATTTTGAACATTCAGTACAGGAAATGTCCCTAGTTTTGTCTCCCCCTCACGGAGCTAGGCATGGCTTCCCAGCCTTGCTAGTGATGTATTTGCCCTGATAGTCACTCTGGAGTCTAGGAAATAGTGCTGCACTGGGGCACTCACTGCCTGATGAGCCGTGTCGATTCCTCATTACCTCAAAGGCAGGCCATTTGCTGTAAGAGCCTGGACCACAGGCACACCCCTAGTGGAAGGGTCCCTCTGCTCTGCATCCTGTTTGGAGCTGAAAGCTTAGAAACTATGTAGATGACATCATTTAAACCAGCATATGCTTCAGTCTGCCTTCATTTTATTATCCTTTGTGCTGGTACAGGGCCCCATAAAATACTCAAGTATTAAGACGAGCTCATGTTTGTAGTGTCAGAGAACAACAGAAGATGAGGCAGGCTGGAGGGCAGGATTTATTAAATAGGAGCTAATCTCACAACCCCGAAACTCTCAAAGTAAAATGGCTATTACATATAATAAATGGCTTATGTGAATGGAGGGGCGAACCTCTTACCATCTGCACCGGGAGTTGTAATTATTGATTTTGGGGTGTGGGGGAGTGATTTGACTTGAAGCAGAATTAAAGTATGTGAGAGGAAGTGCTGCTGTAGCAGCTGAACTGTTTGAGTCCATATGGTGGGATCAATAAAAAAACTATGCTGTGGTCCTGTGGAGTGGGTTTCTCTTAGCTTTTCCAATGTTATTAAATACAATTTACATACTATAAAGTTTCCCCATTTAAAGTAGTTTAAATTCAGTGGTTTTCAGTATATGCACGGGGTTATGATACCATCACCATAGTTGTAGAACTTTTTCATTTCCCAGCCCCCACCCACCCATTCTCAGTTACTTCCTGTTCCCTTCTTCCTATCCCATGCAGCCAGAAATCTCCTCTTCTGTCTCTGTATAGGTGGGATACCTCACATAAATGGGATAACCCAACTTGTGGTTTTGTGACTGGCTTTCACTTAGCGTAGTATTTTTTTTTTTTTTTTTTTTT